TTGGGCATGCTGTGGCCTGAAGCATCCCGGGATGGGAAGCTGGGGTGGGCGGGCCTCTCGCTAGGACGCGGGAGGACTTCAGAGGCTGCCTGGGGAGGACTTGGGGACCTGAGATTCCGAATCCAGAGGGTGCAGCCAGTGCTGACTCACTTGGGGACATGCTGGGCCCGGGAGGACAGCCCTCTTGCTAAACAGTTCCTGTGCAAGGAAGTCGGGCCTAGTAGGGGATTCCAGCTGGTGAGACCCCAGAGGTAGGATGGAGTGCGGGGCTGGCGACACTCGCTCCTCCATCCTGGATCTGCCTTCATCATCTGCTGACCGTGCCGTTCTCCATCCGCACCTTGCTGTCTTCTCTTCCTGGACCATTTAGCCTGCTTCTCACTGCTCTACTTGTCCTCGCTTCTTCTCCACAAAGGGCTGGGCATCCGAGGGGCATGGCTTTGAACCACCTCCACTTCCTCTTCCCCTGGTATCACTACCCCCTTCCTCCACCTCTTCCTCCTTCTTGGGCCCCTGCCCACCCCTTCATTCATCCCACAGCTTCCTGTGTTCTGCCATGCCCTAGGGGGCCCCTAAGAAGCAACTGGAGTTTTCAGCCTGGGGAACAGGAGGGGACTGAGGCCTTCATTGGATCATGTGTTCATGCATGCATGTGCTTCCACTTGCTCACACAGCCCGTGTTCTTTCCCATTCACTCATTCATTCATTCTGGGGACACTTATTGAACATCTACTATGTTTAAGGCTCTGAGTGAGCCAGAGGTGGTGGTGCATCCTGTAATCCCAATAGCTCAGTAGGCTGAGGCAGGAGGATTATGAGTTCAAAGCCAGCCTTCGCAACTTAGCATGGCCCTAAGCAACTCAGCAAGACTCTGTCTCTAAAATATGAATAATATATGGAAATAAAATATAAATAAAATGTGAAAAAGAGCTGGGGAAGTGGATCAATGGTTAAGTGTCCTTTTGGGTTCAATCCCCTATATCCCCCCCCAAATAAGACTGAGTGTTCACGGGTGTGTGTGGGTGTGTGAGTATGTGGGTGGGTGAGGATACTCTGTGTTCCATCTCTGCTGCTAGCTTGCTTAAGGTCAAAAAGAGGATATTAGCACAAATTTTCTGAATTTAAGAGAAGAAGCATTGTGAGATATAAAGGGCTATAAAGTGTGTGTGCTGTGGGTGCCACTTAGGATGGGAAAGGAAGGCTTCCTGGAGGTGGTGGCATTTCAGTTGTGCCTGAGTGGTAAGGTCTGGATGTAGACTCTTCATTACTCTTGGACCATGGGGTGGAGGCAACGGAAAGAAAAAAAGAAACCCTAGGTGTGTGAGGGAACCGTGGGAAGCAAGCTCATGGAGTGAGAGGATTAGAAGAAAGCCTCGCATGGGACCGGACATGTGCTCCCATGTCTCGGCTGGCTGTCTCAGGCCCCAGGGGAGCAGCCTTGTTCTGAGTGGCTGTTAAACTCTCTAATTGTCTAGGCAGCCTTGAGGGAGTTCACCCTTAATCCAGGGGGTATACAAGTGGAGACTGGGCTCCTAGGAATGGGCATGGAGCTGTAGGTTCTGGGCCACGGAAGGTACTGAAAAGTGGAAGTTGGAGTGGATAATGTTGGAGGTCCTCCTGCCCAGGGAATCTGTAGTCCTCTATGGAAGGCTAATGGCCCAACAGAAGGAATTTCTCGGGGTTTGGTTATTTATTCTCTCACTCATTTCCTCACTCACTCCTATACCTATTCATTCATTCAATTCATCTATCCATTCATCTATCGCTTTGTAATATCAGGGCCTGTACTGGGGACTCAAATGACACCGATGAGGTCCCTGTGCTTGTGAGTCAAATGGGAAAGACGGACCCAGGCCTGACAGTGACAACTCAGTGGCACTGTGATTTGTCACTGGGTGGGGAGAAAGGGTATGGACCTGCAAAGTGAATGTAGACATTTGTGCTCCATCTAGGAAGGCCCGACTGTGGGGTCAGAGAAGAAGGATGCAGTGGGGGAAAAGGGATGCTTGGAGGAGAAAATACTCTGGGCTCACAGAGCTTCCAGAGCAGGCTTTCTGCAGACAAGGAATGTCCCAGAGGCTCACTGGAAGACTGGGCCTTTGGGCTGAGGACATCACAAGCTCTTTCCACATTAAAAACAAACCTGTTGCTGGGCATGGTGATGCACACTTGTAATCCCAGCAACTTGGGAGGCTGAGGCAGGAGGATCCAGAGTTTAAAACCAACCTCAGCAGGGTGAGGCCCTAAGAAACTCAGTGAGACCCTGTCTCTAAATAAAAATACAAAATAGGGCTGGGGATGTGGCTCAGTGGTCAAGTGCCCCTGCGTTCAATCCCTGGTATCCATCAAACCAAAACAAATACAAAAACAAACCTGTCATAATCCCCGGTAACAAACAAACAAACAAATAAACAAAAACAAACCTGCTATGCCAGCAGCTCAAGAGTCTGAGGCAGGAGAATCACAAGTTCAAAGCCAGCCTCAGCAACTCAGAGAGGCTATAAGCAACTCAAGTGAGATCCTATCTCAAAATAAAATAAAATGTAAAAAAGGGCTGGGTATATGACTCAGTGGTTAAGTACTCCTGGATTCAATTCCTGGCCCCAAAATAAATAAATAAATAAATAAATAAATAAATAAATAAATAAATAAAATAAAATAAATAAAATCTGGGCTTCATTCTCTCCAGTGGTAACGTGGGAGGACTGACTTAGGTCCCTGGTTCTCAAAGTGAGGTTCCTGGTGATCAGCATGAGCATCACTGGGGGGATTATTTCAGTTCTTGGGCCCTTCTTTGGCCCTGTTGAACCCAAAACTCTGGATATGGGCCCAGCAATCTGTTTTAATAAGCCTTCCAGGTGGTCCTGACTCAGGCTGAAGTCAGGCTTCTCTGGACTATGTATGATTCATGCACATGTTTCATGCCTCCTGTATTTGGGGCCCTGGTCTGGGTGGGTGCTGGTGGGTAGGGAGAACAGAGATGAGTAAGATGTGGTTTCAGCCCTCAGGGGGCTGCCGGGTGAGTTGGAAAGGGGATGCAGATACCCATGGGAATATTCTCTACAGGAACGGACGGTTCAGAGCTGCAGGAGGCGATGAGACAGGAACTAATTCTTTAATAAAATAACATGGGAAAGAGGAGAACTTTGTAAGCTGGATGGGTCTCTGAAGAAAGATCTAGCTCTCCATTGCTTGTTTCTGGAAGTCCTCTTATAAGTCTAACCGAAGCCTTTTACCTTATACCTTGTTGTGGGGTTGTGCAGACAGGGCTTTGGACTTGAGGTCAGGAGTGGTCAGGAGTGGTGATTCTAGACAATGTCCTCACTTTGGGTGGCTCCCTGTCCATCCTTGGGCCTCAATTTGTCCATTTCTAAGATAGGGTCGCTGGGCTAAATCCAGTGAGGCCGAGACATGGTGTTCCTTTGGAGAGAGGGTGGCTGGGGTCCAGAAGCTCTCTGGGTTTCCATTCCTTCCTTTATATAGTTGAGGGCCCTGAAAATTGCCCTGGCTGCCTGCCTGTCAAGTTAGCTCAGGGACTGAGTGAGATGAGCTGTCCCTCTTGGGGCTTGTTTCTTTCCCAGTTCAGGCAGGTTGCGTGAGACCTCTTCAACTCATGCGGCCCTCATCATGTTGGGTGTGTTCATCATTCCCAGAGGCACCTGGCATCAGAGGCCCTGCAAGATGAGGCTCCTCAGAGCCCTGCATCTTCTTCTGTTCCTGTTAGCCCGTCCACCTCACTCCTCTTCTCAGTCTATCCAGAGCCATTCAAACTTCAGGCCAGCTCTGGCACTGCCAGGAAGCAACCTGGATTTTCCCAGTTTTCAGTGCCAGTGCTATCTATGGGCCATCTTGCTGTTTTTAAGGTCTTGCTGATTTTAATTTCTCATTTGTAGACACAGAAATGCTGACAGATACAAGCTCTTTGAGGGCAAGGCCTGAGCTCACAGGGAAGGACATTATAGTCCTTGATTCCCAGAGCAGGGAGGCCTAGAGAGGAGGGGACTTGCCTGGAGTCACACAGCACATTAGTGAAAGAATCAGACCCAGAATCCAGGTCTCATAAACATGCCCAGAAGAGACAGTATTGAGCTTATAGTGAATGAACTAGAAGCATGAGGGACAGAGGAGAGGGCAGAGGGCTGGGAGCTGGCCTGATCGGTTTGCAGGTGCTTTGTAGTTATTGGCTGTACCACCTGGAGCACCTTCCTGTTGGGTGCCTGGCTCACAACAGGGGCCTGGTTGTTATGGGGTGATTGTTATCTCCCCCATCCACTTGTCTTCCGCAGCTCTCTTGCCTGGATCCCTTCCCCCACCCTTTTATTTTCTACCTTCCAGGCTCTTTACTGTCCCAACTTCAACTTGAGTGTCAAGGTCTCCTGGTCAAGCTTCTTGCAGGAGTCAGGGGGAGAAGGGGAAAATCCTGGTGGTGACTACAGGGGGTTGAATCCTGCATGGCCATCAGGTGGAATTTGGCAGGTGCCACTTTTAGAAGAATCTCACTGCCCATGTTAAAGAAGTGAGTGGTGCGCCCTGTCTCTGGCCAGCAGCTGCTGGGCTTGACAGCCTGGATGGGTGGAGCAGGCAAGCGGCTCTCTCCAGGGTGAAGAGTCCTAGCAGGTGGGTCCGCTGTCTCTGCAAGGTGGCTGGCAGCGCCCTGGCCTCCCGCTATGCTGCAGCCTGACCCCTTGTGGACGGATGGAAATCTGGACCTGGAGCTGAATCTCCGGCCCCTGGGGACCATCCTGGAGCCTAGGGTCCCCGTGGGGAGGATGACGGAGCCGGCATGGGGGCTGGAAATGGGGGTGATTGGAGTTTGGCTGGGGTTGGAAGCCGAGTGAGCTTCCGGCTGGGTGTCCAGTAGGTGGGGACTGGCTCCCGAAGCGGCGGTGCCCAGTTGGCCGCCCCTGAGAACCCTTCTGGGCAGGGGTTCCAGGAGGAGGGGGGGCAGGAGCGGCTGCGGAGAGGCCGGGAGGCGGCTAGAAGCTCTGGCTGCGGAGGGCGGGAGCTCGGGAGGAGGAGCCCGAGGCCGCTGGCTGCATTTGGAGCCCCAGCCGGAGCCGGCTGTGGCTCAGGTGACCTGAGGCTGTCTCTGGGAGCGCGCTGATCCCCACCGCCTGGTCCACACTGCTAGAGGCCGCAATGATCCAGAATGTCGGCAATCACCTGCGAAGGGTATGACCAGTGGGCTGGGGCGCGGGAGGCTGGGGACCCAGAAAGATTAACGTTTGCTTTGGAAGTTAGAAGTTCTGCTGCTTCTTTTTTTCACTTTCCACGGGCCATTTTCTAGCTCTCTTTGGAAAGAAATTGCAGAAGCCCGGGGCTGTTTAATTATAAGCAGCAATTTCCAAACAAGCCCTAGGGACCACTAGATCCCCAAGGGCTGGCTGTTTGACTGGAATCACTCGCAGCGAGTTCTGGAATTCTTGTGGGGTTGTGCATTTCTGCAGGCGCAGTTGTGTGTGTGTTTCTGCTGGCCATCTGAGCTGGCTCTGGGTATTCCAGCTCCCCGCTCAAAGCCCTTTGAGCGATGGAAGTTACAGGATGAAGGTGTGTACACCCTCTAATGACGGAGCGCAACCGGGTAAGGACGGGAGAACAGTCGCAGGACCATGTGAGGGAAAGGCCATGTGGAAAAGTGTTCCTTGAGGTGACCTTGAAGAGCACTTTCCCCTAGAACCTCCTAACAGGGACTTTGGAGCTGAAATTTCATGTTGAGGCCCCAGGCAGACTCAAGTTCCTCTCAGTGTCTGGCAGGGATCTTTGACCTGGTGCATGGAGAAGAGCTCAGGACAGACTGGCAGAGCTTTGCTGGGTGTACAGTGGCTGTCTATTGAGGACATTTTCAGCAAAAAAAACTTTTAAAAAGGGACCGGAGCAAATAAAGAAATATCTTATTTGTCCCCCACCTCCACCTGCACAGCCACCTTTCAACTTGTTCTCCTGCCCCTCCCAGTGCACCTGTCTTCCCACAGCCAACCCCCTTCACACTGATTACCTGACGCTGGGGATCTTGGTGACCTGGCTTGTGCATGCCTCCCTCGAATCCCCCCATCCTGCCCCTCTGCATTCTCAGCAGCAGCCCACTGTCCTGCTTTCCATGGTCTTAGTGTCTCCGTGGTCTCTCTTTCAGGCTGGTGTCCATGCTGTGCCTTCTCCCAGTCACCCCAGCCTTCCTGTGCCTCCCCTAAGCTACCTCTGTGGCAAGTTCCTCCTGAGCCATCAGATTGAGCTCAGATGCTGCCTCCTCTGGAAAGCCCTCCCAGATTTCTCACATCACTGTGCACCGCTATGTGAGCTCCTTCTCATACTGGAATGTGTGCTTGACTCGCGCGTCCACCTCTCGCACAAGCCAGTGAGCTCCATGCAGCTGCTCCTGGTGAACCCAGCACAGAGCTGGGCCTGGCCAGAGTCCAGGGAATGATTAGTGAATGAATGAGAACAGGCGACTTCTCAGCCAGGGCAGGTAGGATCTGGACAGCAGGGCCCAGGGGTCAGAGAGAGGGTCTTCCAGGTGGGTGGGCTGCCTGTGTCTTTTCTTGGTCCCTGTCATATTTAACCCTTCAGGACTATTTTCCCATTAATCCTCATCTGTAACTGGGGACAAGCGGGTGGGTAAGAGTAGTGTCATTTTATAGTAGCAGATCCCCATAAGTGCTGCCCACGCCAGGCACCAAGCCAAAGTCAGGCACATGTTACTTCAATCAGTTCTCTGAGGGAGGTACACTCACCACCCCCAAATTGCAGATAAAGAATCTGAGGCTCTGAGAGGTGAAGTGATTTGTCCCAGATCACACTGGTAGGAAGTGGCAGAGCTGGAATTTGAATTCAGTGGTCCTGGCTCCATAGTTTGAGCTTTTAAGAAACCTGAGACAGGGCTGGGGATGTGGCTCAAGTGGTAGTGTGCTCACCTAGCATGCGTGAGGCACTGGGTTCAATTCTCAGCACCACATAAAAATAAAATAAAGATATTGTGTCCACCTAAAACTAAAAAATAAATACTAAAAAAGAAAGAAAGAAACCTGAGACAGAGTTGGGCATGGTGGTGCACTCTTGTAATCCCAGTTCAAAGCCAGCCTTAGCAATCTATTGAGGCTCTGAGCCACTTAGCAAGACCCTGTCTTAAAATAAAAAATAAAATAAAAAGGATTGAGGATGTATCTCAGTGGTTAAGTGCCTCTGAGTCCAATGCCTGGTACAAAAAAAAAAAAAAAAAAAAGGAGAAACCTGAGACAGCCAGCTGAAGGTCTAGAAATGACATTCAACCCACATGTCCTGAGCCCATCTGCCATTTGGTTCCCCGTACTACCTCCATTGATTCTTGGAATGGAGCAGGGTGTAGATGTGGAAATTGGGCTCATGAGAACACAAGGGACCTCACATCAGCTAAAAGCACTGTGACCTTGATTGCTACCTTTGAACTTGTGCCTGATTGGCAGAGATTCTTGGATTTCCCTTGCCTCTTCCCTTAGCTCTTCTTGAATTCGGGAGATTTGGGAGGGATGTTTTCTGGTTTGGTATCAAAGCTGTTTTTAATGAAAAGCAAGCAAACCCCAAAACCCCACCAAACTATTTCCACTAGGTACGAAGAAGCCAGATTAAACTGGGAACAGAAGTAAGGGGTTGTTTCACAAGTCCCACTTTGCATGGTTTGGGGACAATTTTCAGTACCCTAAGGCACTGCAGACAGAGTGAGTGTTGAAGTCTGGTAATTCTGGCTCCTACTCATGACTGGGTACCAAGCAAACACTTGGTGTGTATAAGTGACTGAGTGAGTGACTGAAGCTGTGAGTGCCACCAAGCCTGGTGGCAGGCAGGGTGCTGTGTGTGGATCTGGGGATGCTGGAAAGTTCTTCCTGTCCTGTCTCATAAATGTCTCTTCTTTCCCCATCCAAGATGTCAGTCTGTACTGAGAACTGAGTCTTGCACTCCTGGTGGTCAAGGGACCACAGGCACCCTAGTAAAAGGCTGGCCAGACTCTTGAGAGGCCTGGGAACCTATATCCAGTCTCAGGTCTGGCCTGGGCCAGGTCAGTTCCCTGTACAACCTTTTTACTCCAGAAATGGTGACAGAGATATTTGACCCAGTTCTCCCCAAAACAGCTGGGGGCATCTGTGCTTGTGTTCATAGACCTATATGCTGGCTATACCTCTAGCATGATTGTGCTACCTCACTATGAACCTGAGGGCAGCTGGAGGAACTTCTATCCCAACTCATCCTACCCAGCCTTGTTAGGGGTCTGGCCCTTGTTAGGGGTCTGGTGGGGAGGTTTAGGACATGGCATTTGGATTAGAATCTTAGGTTCACTCCATATTCACTGTGTGACCTGGGCCAGGTGTTCCTCTGTCTGGGTCTCAGCATGTTGGGTGATCATAGAGGTCCCCTAACCCTGACATCTGGAAACCTGAACATTTGTGACAGATCTGTGTATCACCTTGAGGGTGGTCTTGACAGAGAAAGGCAGGGGCTGGTCTCCCTGGAGGAGAAGGAGGAGGAGTGGTGGAGAAGTAGAGACCTGTAGACATAGAATGATGTGCCTGTCACATAGCAAGGGTTCAGAAATGACTAAATGAAGTCATGACCACGGAAGTGGGCTGAGGTGATCCCAGAGGAAGAGGTGAGACTTGAACAATCATTATCAATCTCTTCAGGAGCGGTGTGTGAAATCCAGTCTGGTCATGGGCAGATGCCCTTAGTGTTCTTAATCTGTCTGGAGGACTCTTCCTATCCTTCAAAGTCCAGCCATCGCTTCCCATTTGAATCCCCATCCTACCTGGCCCCAGAGTAAATGAGGTCTGCTCAGGATGTGCTACCCACTTCGCTTGTTCCCTCCACAGGTACTTAACTCCGAGGATTAACTTGTGACGGGTGCTGACAGCTAATAGGGGACAGATGGTAAAATGGTAGTCAAATCAATACCAACGAAAATCTGTATTAAGTACTGTGACTAAAGCGTCATTGCCCTGTGCGAGCTATGCATCAAGCATGCAATAACTTATTTATTCCTTGTAACAACTCTGTGAAGTGGATAATGTTATTGTGTTCATATTAAAGGTGAAACTGAGACAGAGAGATTAAGTAATATCCCCCATATCACACAGCTAGTAGGTGGCATTGCAGGGCTTACCAGGCTGTCTGGAGCACTGAGATCTGAGAGAAAAGAGAGGGAGGTCAGGGGAGAGCTCTTTGAGCAGGTGACAGTTGAGCAGAGATCTAGTGGCTGAGCAAAGGCAGCTGGGGAGGAGCATTCCGGGCAGAGGGAGCAGTGTTCATTTGTAGGCTCTGAGGTGTGGGAGCTTGGTGTGTCTGACAGCTGAATGGAGCCCAGGTGGCTTGAAGTGGGGAGAACCAGGGGCAGAACACTGGAAGAGGCAGAGATGAGGCTCTGAGATGCTGCAGCTGTGCATCTGGGCCCTGTAGGTGAGAGGGTTTGGTGTGCTGTGAGCTCCTTGAGACTCTCTGGTCCCCAGGCTTAGTACAAGATGCACAGCCCCTGCAAGCTGGACTCGGGGACCCAGGGAAACAATCTTCCTGACTCCGCTTCTCTGTGTGGCTAGCACTCTGATGGTCCCAACTGCCTTCCCAATGACTCCAACTCCTCATAGCAGAGAGGCAGGGATAGGATCAGCCCCCTGCACAGATGAGGTACAAAGAAGTGAGATGAGGTGCCTGGGTTCCTGAAGCTGGCCAGAGAGACTCAGGACCCACCTGCTACCTTGGGACCCTTCTCCAGGTCTTTCTTTGGCAGGAAAGCATCTGGAACCTCTGTGCACCCAGTGGGTGGTTTCCATCACCCTTGGACCTACCCCATCCAGCCTCCTCTGCCCACACTTGCACACTGAAAATGTGGGCTTGGAGTCCCAGGCTGTCTGAGCTGATCCTCCCATGCATATATCAGGGTCTAGGGAAGGTTGTACCACCACCCCGGCCTGTGCCTGGGCTGGTAGTGGGACTGTGCTGGCATCTTGGAACTTTTGGAGAGCTATTCACTGCTCTGCCAGACAGCGAAAGGGTCCAGAGAGACCTGCCTACTTACTTTGCCTTTGTAGGCTCCAGTTTTTTGATCTGTGAAGCAAACTTGCCAGGTTGTTGATAGAATTAGCCATTGGAGGACTGTAGAACTCGGCATGGGATTGGCCTTGGTTAGCACTCGTTCCTTTTTTTCCCCATCTCAT